GGAGAGGGAGCCAAGGTGCTTGCAGGTGCCTGTGGGGCCTGGGGAATGGACTCCTCACCTCTTCCCCCAAGGATGAGCATTTAACTGCACCTGTGAGGAATCACCATGCCAGGCAACTGCGCAGGGAAGATTAGAATGACTAGAGGCCAAAGTTGGCATCCTCCAAACCAGGCACCTTCCCTGCTAAGGAACACACAAGACAAGCAGGGGGGCCAGGTCAGGGAGACGGACAGCTTGTCCCGTCCAGGGCAGACCTGGTGAGGGCTTTGAAGATCCTAGAGTCTTCCAATTTGGCCCAAAGAGTAGGGACAAAGCACAAAAGGGAGTTCTGAAATGGATTGTGGCTGGCTTAGAGGATCAAGAGACCTAAAGCTGAGAAATAATTAGCTTAAGTTGCCTGCATGAGACCACAGTGGCTTCAAACTCATGTTCAGAAATCATATTGTCTTGGTAAGTAAATCCCAGGGCGCTATGATCTTGGGCCGTTGTTTTATTTCTCTGGGTTTTGTGATTCCCTACGCCCCCAAACCTCCCTGCCCTCTCTTCAACAAGAGTTTTCTTCCCCCTTTGGGAGTGGTTTGTACAACCTACTGAGTGGGACAACTTCCCAGCCCATGCTGAGATCTTTCTCACCACTTTTTTTTTTAAAAGATCTATCTATCTATCTATCTATCTATCTATCTATCTATCTATCTATCTATCTATCTATCTATCTATCTATCTATCTATCTATCTATCTATCTATCTATCTATCTAAGCACTGGGTACAGTCAGAAGCACGGGAGGGTGAGAGAATTCACCAGAGCCAGAGCGGGGAGCAGAGCAGGCAGAAGGACCGAAGTACACTGCTGAGGGGAGCAGCGGGCGGCAGGAGAGGTCTGCGTGCCATGTGGGACCCTCGCCCGGTGGCTGGGGATCGAACCGGCACTGCAGAGGCTGCGGGCAGCTTCGCAACCCAGCGCTCAGCTGCTGTGCCACCGGGGAGGCCTTTCTCACCACTTCTTAAACAGTCCTGTAGAGGGCGCAGTTTCCTTGTTCCAGGAGCTTGCAGGCTTCAGGAATGTTCAATGTTTCATTCAGTCCTGTAGGATTTTCTGCCCATCTTGATAATCTCTTCAAAGCTCTGAGGACAGTAATGTAGGGTATATCTAGAAGCACAGGAGGTGCGGAGGCCTCTGATTTTGAGACGCTCCCGGCAATAGTTCTGGGGAAGAAGACAGAGGTCAGGACCTCTTCCAGTGGTTGCAAGTCATGCTCAAGTCCAGCGACCAAGGCAGCACACTGCTCTGACAATTTAGGGATCCAGAAGAGGTCTAGACGGGGTCCACCGTCTCTAGGGAAGACGGGAGCTGCACTGGGGGTAAGTCGTGATGGATGGGAGGATTGGGGGACCTAGGCCAAGAAAAACAGAAAATGGCAAGGTTTTGTTAAATGTTCTTATTTTAAAATTCAAATTTATGGTAGTGGGAACCGTATGGTGGTGATACCTGATGGGGAGAAGCTCACAATTAAAGGAATAAATTAGTATTAAAAAATGAAAATTCAATTTATTTTAGTCGTTTGCTTTATAATGACCAATTTTATATTATATGACTTTTGTGTCAATTTTAATAACTACATTATATATATTACATCTATATATAAACTATATATAAATAATTCTTCTTTTAGTATTTCCTCTAAACTCCCAGTTCCCTCTTCTAAAAGCAACTAATGTCAAAGGTCCTTTTGTATTTATTCAAAAACGTTTTATGCAAACATAGAGAACTAGGTCTATGTAGACTTTATTTCCATCCTCCTTACACAAATGGTAGCCTTCTAAGCATACTGTTGTGGGCCTCGCTTTAATCACTATGTGTCCACTGGAAATATATTTATTAACTTATTAGTCTTCACAATAATCTTACCAAGTAGATGCTATTATAATCCTCATACCCCTCAATTTTATAGGTAAGAAAATTGAGGTTCAAGAGGAGAAGTTCTTAGTTAATGGTCACACATAGTCTGACTACAGAACATTTGCTTTAAACTGCTACATGTTATAGCCTTCAACAGACATTTTATAAATGTCTGCACCATAATTTACTCAAGCCATCCCTATTGATGAACATTTAGACTTTTCTAATTTCCTCCGGTTATAGAAACTGTTGCCATGAGTAAGCCTGGCCATATGACAATTCACACTTATGAAGTGAAATTCCAGAGATAATTTTTTTTTTTAAGAGGCATGTATTATTTATTTATTTGTTTGTTTGTTTATACAAGCACTGGGTACAGTCAGAAGCGCGGGAGGGTGAGAGAATTCACCAGAGCCAGAGCAGGGAGCAGAGCAGGCAGAAGGATCGAAGTACACTGCTGAGGGGGCAGCGGGCGGCAGGAGAGGTCTGCGCGCCATGTGGGACCCTCCTCCAGTGGCCGGGGAGCAGCCGGGAATCGAACCGGCGCTGCAGAGGCTGCGGTCAGCTTCTCAACCCAGCGCTCAACAGCTGCACCACCAGGGAGGCCCCTCCAGAGATAACTTTTGATGGCTGTTACAAAATTGCTCTCCCTCTTGCCCCATCAATTTGTCTCCCTTCCCTTTGAGTGGATGAGAATTCCTATTGCTCCTGACCTCACTGAGGGTTTACTTGATATTGTAGTGACTAATGCGTGTTTGTTTCAAAGGTGACCAGCCTTATTCCAGAACAACCCGGCTTAATGGAGGAGTCTGGGAGATGAGAAATAGTGGGTCATTGGTAAACCTTTATTTGATGAATCAGGCTCAGAGGTCATTAACTTGTATTTTGAAGAAGACAGAATACAGATTATAGAGTAGACGTCTCAAGCCTCCGTCACATGACCAGTTTAGGTAGTGTGTTTTGGGAAAAACAAATCACCAGAGAGTCCTTGTTCACAGTTGCTGTGTTCTCCTGCAGGTCCTCATAGTATGACACTATAAGATTAAGAACAATCCTAATGCTTTGTAATCCAGGTATATTCCTCACCATCTTCAGAGGAGGGTTGAAAGACCCATAGTTGCCAAATGAGGCTAAGAAATTCCCTATTTCCAGTGAAAGAGGAGAGGAAGTCTTGACATCCAAACTATGTTTGCTAACATTGAAATTTGGCAAGTGGTCATTTACAGAGCTTAAAAGTTGAAAATTATATTTATTTTTTATTTTAATAAATATTTATTTAATCATTAAATGTCACTTATTTATTGAAAAATCAGGTCCTAGTTTGTATCCAAGCAATTTAAAAGTGGAGGCTCTAACCTGGATGTTGGAGTTTTGATCCTTCCCTACACACACACACACATCAGTAGCTACCCAGGTTGCTTTTCATCTAGCACTTTTTCACTTACTCAGGTGCAATTATTTATTGAATTCCCACGATGTGCTGGTATCTGTTAAAGATGGATAGCACAAATGTAGGCTATGTAGAGTGACTGCAAAGAGGAGGAAATGCAAAGCGCTAGTCTGGCAGTCCACCAGACGAAAGTGTTCCTCCCCTTTGTGGAATATGTGGTCGGCTCAGTTGTGTGAGCTTCTGTGTGACATGATACTTTTTCCTACTTACACTTCCCCAAGCATTAGAAAGGCAGCATTAGAAGACAGAACTGAACTTAAACTTTTTTTTTAAAGAGTCACTTTTATTTATTTATGCATACAAGAACTGGGGTGTAGGCCAGAGGTGCGGGGGATGAAAGGATTCACCAAAGACAGAGTGGGGAGCAGAACAAGTGGATCTACTGAAATACACTGCTGAGGGGGGCAGCAGGCGAGACAGGAGAGGTCTGCTGCGCCTTGTGGGTCACCTCGCTGGCCCAGGATAGAATTCAGGTTGCAGCAATGATAGTGCTGAGACTTAAACCTGGTGCCACCAGGGAGGCCCTGAGCTGGATACTTAATGATGGTAACCTAGTAAAAAATGAGGCTATTACTTTCAGTTAGCTTTTAGGTTTATTTGTAGTGGTTTTGGGAAGGGGGTAGCTCATACAGCCAAGAAGGAAAGAGCATTAGTCACTGAGAGGGCTGATATTGTAAGAAATAACTGCAAATATTCATTATCATTTTTTCCCATTAGACTTGAATTTCTTGAGAACTGGGTCTAGGCTCATTTATCTCCAGCTAACAATGCTTGGCATCAAATGTGGAATTTAAATGAAACTTCTTTGCGATCTTCATGGAAATGAAGGGCTTATCGATGACTTGGGAGAGTGCACAAAATAAACCTATTAAGGGCTTTTGATAGTCTATTAGAAACAGGAAATAAAACATAGTTGGGAAAAATAAAATCGACAAGGTCTTTAATGATTAAACCTTCAAACCTAGTCCCAGATAGCGGTTAAGCTTTGGTTTGTCTTTGTTTCCCCCGCCCAACCCTCATTGTTGTTGGTATTAAAAATAATAAACCTGATAGAGATTTGCATATGTGAGAAAGCATCACACATTTGAATTTTTTTTTTTGCGTGGCATGTATAATTTTTTAAAATATTTTATTTTATTTTATTTTATATATTTTTACATCATTTTTCATTTTTGCACAATGCATGCATCTTCACCTTGGCTACACTCCCCACACAACTCCCACCTTTTATTCCAAAGCGCAGAGAGCACCGCGCGCAGAGCCACAGAGCGCTTCACTTAGCGACCGCGGGATCATTGGACGGCAGACACACTCTTACTAACCAATGGCCGGGGAGTCCGGAAAGAACTCTCTTCGGATTGGTCAGAGGAAGCATCCCTCTAGGTTCGTTCGCGAAGGGGCTTGGCTTGCGTCTCGGCCGGCCGCACCTTCTATCCAATCAAAAAACGGCGAGGGGCGGGCTTTGTGGCAGCACGGAGCCTATCCTGGAAGGTGACTCCCCGCCCGTCAGAACTACCTACCGCGAGCGGGGGCTGGGGGGCGTGGCCTCCAGCCCCACGCTCCTGCCGGTCCGTGACGCGCGCGGAGTGGGCGGGGCCGCAGGCCGGGGCGGGGCCAGTGTTGTCGGCGGCGGAGCCGGATGCGGGCGGCGCCGCGGCCGCCGCGGGCCCGGGGATGGGCGGAGCCCCAGCCGCCAGAGCTGGTGGCCGCCGCCGCCGCTGCCGGAGCCGGAGCCCGAGCGGCGCCTCTGCTCGCGCGCGGCGCGGCGTCCTAGGGCGGCGGCATGCTGGGGAAAGGGGTCGTCGGCGCGGGCGGCGGCACCAGGGCGCCCAAGCCCTCCTTCGTGTCGTACGTGCGCCCGGAGGTGAGGGGCGGCGCGGGCGGCGCGTCAGGGCAGCGCGTCAGGGCAGCGCCGCGGCGGGGGGCGCCGGGGGTCATCCCCGCGGCGCGGCCGTGAGCTCATCCCCCGGCGCGGCCGCGGGCGCCGCGGGCCGGGCGCGAGCGGGGCGGGCGGGCAGGTGCCCCAGGTGGGGCCCGGCTCGCCGCGCAGGTGAAGCGGCCGGAGCGGGGCTGGCGCCGGGGCGGCGGGAGGGCGAGGCCGGGGGCCCGGACCCGGGAGCGCGGCCGCGAGACAGCGGGTCCCGGCTGAGGCTGCCCTGCCCTTGAAATTCCTCGGGGGGACTCGCGAGCTGTCTGGTCCCGCCGCCTGCTCGCGGGCGCGGCTTGGTGCCGCCGGCGGGACTCGGGGCGCCGCGGGGAGACGCGGAGTGGGGCGGCCCTGGCCGGTGGGCGCTGGCCTCAGCCCGCCTCTGCCTTGTCTTAGGAATTCAGCTCTGTCAGCCCCCGCCGCGGGCCCCCCTTCACTTCTCACCATCAGCCTCCCACCACCTCTTGCTTTCCTCTTGGAATTTTACTGAGAAGTTCATTCATTCATTTAGAAATATTGGTTGAGCTCTCTTGCTCTTGCCAGGCACTGCTCAAAACGCTTGAGATGATGCATCAGTGAACAAAACAAAGATCCTTGCTTTCCTGGAGCCTATTTGAGGGGGAGAGGAGGTACACGGAGTAAACAATAGCTTAGATAGATGTATGGGTTAGGTGGCATGCTAGCAGGTGTTAAGTGTCACAGGAAAAGAAAAGGCACTCCTTGCTCGGTGACGTGTGAGCACGGACCTGAAGGATGCTTGGGAAGAGTACAGGCGGAGGAAAGAGTCTGGAATGCTGGAGGAAGCCCAGCCCTGCACACTCCCTGTGGGTGAGGAGGAGAGTGACAGGAGAGGTTACTGAGGTAGGCCTGGGCTCCTTGAGCAGTGGCTCCCAATCCCAATGTTTTCATTTTGGATTCCTGCTTTGTTTTTTTTTTTTTTTTTCTTTCCCCTCCCTCTCTCCAGCAGCGACAGACGCTCTACCAAATTCGTTGTCTCCACATGTCTTCCCACCTCTGTAAAGCAAAGGCAGGTGGTCTGTGGAGGAGCGATCTTGACCTGGAACTGCTTCTCTAAGGCTCTCAAGCACAGGAAGTCTTTGCATGTATATCTTCACATTCAAAACGTGTGTGTTTTCTCCCGTGGAGAGAACTCTCTTCAAGTGGGTCTTATTTTTAGTCTTTATTTTAACCACTTCCTCTGTCAGTGCCTGATAAAGAGTCAGGGTCATTTTGAATTTTCAGCAAGAGTAAGTAATGTGGTCAGTTTCTCTTTGTCTTTTTTTTTTTTTTTTTTAGTGAGCCTTGGTTGAAGTACAACTGCCCTTTAACCTTTCCTCTTTGGTGAGATTAAGCTCTAAGTGGAAAGTCTTCTGAAAGGTGGCCAGTGTTCAAGAATGTTCAAATTTTTCATCCACCAAGTGCACATGTTGTAATTAGACATGTTTTCCCCTCTTTGCCCACAGTGCCTGATGTATTTCCTTTGAGGGATAATTAGGGAAGGGGAGTGGTTCAGCCCCGAAAGAAGCCTGAAGTGGTCACATTTTTCAGATCCTTAAAGTTGGCAGTTTGTTCTCGTGCATTAAAATAATGCTAGGTAGACACTATTTCTCGTGCATTAAAATAATGCTAGGTAGACACTATGCTTCTTTGTTGTAATCTGTCTCTGAAAGTATTTTTTAACAGAGGTTAAGACTGTGATCTAAAATGTGAATGGTTTTTAAAAGATAAGGGAATGAGATGAGAAAACAATTTATTTTTAAGAATATGGCTTTTGCTAGATAATCATAGTATCTGAAATGCACATGACAAACATTGAGGCTTCAAACATTGAAGCTTATGTGCCTCTGAGCTGTGCATCTGCTAACCTTCTCTTGACTCACTCAGATGGAGGGGTCCCACAGAACCCTTCTGAAAATTGTCATTCTGTTCCTACTCCTTCCCTTTTATCTGGTCTTCAGTTTTATTTCCTTTGGTGTATGTCTTCCTGGAACTTCTTTGAAAACGCTTTGCTTTTGTTAGCTGGGAAGTCCCAATGTCTCAGATTTTTTTTTTTTTTTTTTTTGCTGGCAGATCTTGAGCTGCCAGAACAACCATCATACCTTATGATGTGATGATACCTGTGGTGGCAATGAACTTGTTCTTGTCTGGTCAGATCTTGGAATGCTATACAGCTGCTGCCCTTAGTACATCGGAGAGTCTAGTCATAGTCAGCACGTTGTGTTAAAAGCAGAAGTGCTTTACTGGATGAAGTGTTTGAAGATGATGCTTTAAAACATACTGGCTTATTTTTCATATGACCTGAATGAATTGGCCCTGGACAACCTAAAATGAGCATAGCAGTTAACTCCCAGACTTTAACTCTGGAATTTGTAACTTGGGCTCTTCTGTCATTGATTCACCTAAATTAGTGAGTGTGAAAGTAAAAACTTTGAATTGTGGGGCTTCTCTGGTGGCGTAGGGGTTAAATCTCAGTGCTATCATGCTATCACCTCTGAGGCCTGAGTTTGATCCTTGGCCATTGAGCTGACCCACATGGCACAGCAGACCTCTCCTGTCTTGCCCGCAGCTCCCCTTAGCAGAGTATTTCAGTAGATCCACCTCTTCTGCTCCCCACTCTGTCTCTAGTGAATCCTCTCACCCCCTGTACCCCCCCTGCCCCGCACTCTGGCCTGCACCCCAGTTATTCTATGCATAAATAAATAAATCTTTAAAAACAAACAAAAACCCGACTTTGAACTGAAATTTAGGACCTTTGGGCATGTTTTGTGAACGCTACCTAGAGGGTTACCAATCAGAAAGCTAGAGAGCTGATAAATCATAAAGCAGAGTTATATATCATAAAGCAACTGATGATTCTGGAAGGTGGACAGGAGGGAAACTGTCCTGAGGCTGTCCCAGTGTGGTGCCTGATGGCTGGTACCTAGCAAGGCAGCATCTCTGCCCCAGTGTCGTCCCAGGCACAGGCTGCAAAGGCTGTCATCTCTGTGCAAGGGAACCACTGGATGTGAAGTTCTTCTGGGAGGCGTTTGGTTGTCGTTGTGGGTGTCAGATTCATTTATCTTGTTAAATAAATCATGTGCCTAAGTTATTACTTCAGAAACCATGAGTGTTCATTATAGACAAGAGAATTCACATATGCCAAAAAGTTTTCTTTAAAGAAAAACTGTAGGCTTATTAACAGTTTGGAGTGTGTCCTATCAGATATGTGTGTAAGTGTATACATATGATTTTTGCCAAAATGGGATTAATAGGGCCTCCCCAGTAGCGCAGTGGTTGAGCGCTGGGTTGCGAAGATGCCCGCAGCCTCTGCAGCGTTGGTTCTATCCCCGGCCCCAGGGTGAGGGTCCCACATGGCGCGCAGACCTCTCCTGCTGCCCATTGCTCCCCTCAGCAGTGTACTTCCGTCCTTCTGCCTGTTCTGTTCCCCGCTCTGAATTCTCGCACCCTCCCTCACTTCTGACTGTACCCAGTGCTTGTATAAATAAATCTTTTAAAAAAAAGGGGATTAATATTGCTGAGCTTATTATTTTGTAATTGGCCTTGTTCACCAGAAATATATGTTGTAAATGCCTTTCCATGTCAGTTGTTAACCCATAATGTCATTTTAAACTAGACCCTTTTCCTCTTCAGAAACACACAATATGATGGGGAGAGGCTGGCTAGCATTGACGAGCCAAGGAAAGTGATAGGATTTTAAAATGTTTTTCTACTTAGTCACCTTCTCTGGTGCTGAATGATGTTTTTGATCTTCAGGATTGTCAATTTTCGGCTCACCTACCTTGAAGTTATAAACACTGTTTTAATAATTTATATTGATGAGAAATGCTTAGTTTCTGTACCCAGAAGTTTGTAAGTCAAGGTCCTAAGAGGAAGTTCTGATTTAACAAGAATCCTGTTCTGTTGTGATAGGGAATTAAAGCTTCAGGGAGCCCGTGTGTTGGTCTCAGAAACTAAAACCAGGAAAAATCCAGCTTTTAGGGTCTCTTATACTTGTGCCCATATTTGTGTGGTATCCAAATACATCTAACATATTTTCTGGTGGAGTTAAGGTCGGTGTTTGACTTGAATGTACTAAGTTATTCAAATAGTTCTCATTTGTGGATTTTTAGATTTGGAAGAGAATTAAAATATAATCTGTTCCAAAAAAAAAAAAATATAATCTGTTCCACCTCTGTTAAACAGATGTGGAAATGAGACCCCAGAGGGTCAAATGTCCTTTCCAGGGGCACAGTGGAATTGCAGAACACTGGGATCAGCAGCTCCAGTGGCTAAGCCAGGCCTAAGGAGTTCAGGAAAGGTTTCGCGTAGTGGTGGGAAGAAAAGGCAAGAAGAGAGATGCAGATTAAGAAGGGTCCGAATCCAAATTTAAGTGCTGGAGATACAGTTGATTCAATTGATATCTACTCACCACCTAATAGTACCAGGCACTATTCTAGATTTGGGGAAATAAAACAGATGAAATTAATGAGAGTGTTTTTTGGTGGAACACTGCTGTACCAGACCACTGACTTGATGACGTTGATGAAATGATGACAAGATTGGCTTGTCCTAAAAACAGACCTCCTTCCTTAGTTCGAGCAATAAAAAATACCCTTCCAGCAAAATTAGATGCATGACCTTTTTTTTTTTAAGCCTCTATAACTTTTTCTTCATTCCAGACTAATTTTTTTTAAGGACAGAATTTTCTCCTTGACCTTAGAAGTCATTGATCGCAATATAACAGACCTTTAGAGGACATTGAAAGTGCTCTTAAAATGATCACTTTCTTAGCTGTGGCTTTAGCCTGTGATCAGTCCAAAGCTTCCGCTTTTCTCTCCTGCATGCGCTTCCTGTGGCATCTCCCTGGGTCATATCCAACACCACAGGACTTCTGCAGATGGAGCATCAGAAGATGTCATGAGGCCGTGGCGGGCAGCACTTCCTGCATCCTGATCAAA